GAGGGGTTGTATGTGCTGGATGGGGGGTGCGTGGGGGGGGGCTGGGGGCAGTGGTGAGCGCTGGTGACCCGCCGCGGGCCGAGCTGCCCTGTCGGTGCCGGGGGAATGCAGAAATGAGAGAGAAGTGCAAGTCCCATCAGCCACCCTGGTGGGAATGCTCTGGCTGTGGGCAGAGCTGGGTGCCCCCAGAGCCCGTCTTGTCCCGGGGCAGCTCCCGAGGCTGCGCTGGCTGCAGAGCTGTGCCCCAGGCAGGGGCGAGCACCGCCTGGGCAGTAATTGCCGCGGAATTAACCTCTGACATTCTTCTAAAAATAGGCCAAATAAATCCAGTCATTAGCGGCTCTCCCGCCTGCTTTGCCTCAAGGGTAAACACTGCAGATTAAAGCGTTTACAAGTTTCAAGTCTGGGAGCATTTCCTCGCTCCTCCCTGTCTCTGAGGTCGAGTCCCAGCCCCTGCCCCAGGGTTTTGCCTCTTGGTTTGTGGGGAGGGGGCGTGGTGTGAGCTGGTGGCTTTTGGGGTGTCGGAGGGCTAGAACGTGTCACTTTAATCACTGACAACAGGCAAAGAAAATGAGCACAGTTGATGTGAAGAGCCAGGCGGCTCTGCCTGGTTGGTTTGGGTGGCAATATAAAGGTGTCTTCTCCTGCAGGAGGGAAGGCAAACCACCTCCCCAGGGCACTAGGGGAGCATCCTGTGCCGGGCCATCCCAAACCATCCTGTGCCGCGTCACCCAGCCCCATGTCCCCACTGCCAGCCCCTTGGCTGTGTTCAGCACGGGCACAGCATGGAGATGGAAACCCCCTGAATTTGGCTGGTGGGACAGGGGCAGGGGTGCTGAGCAGGTCTTGGTTCATGACAGCAAAGTTCCAAAATGCTGTGGCTGTTACTATTCCAGGCAAAAGAACAAGGGAGATTTACGGGCTCCCGAGGCGCTGACACGTGTGGCTGCTGGGAACGGCCCTGCCCAGACGGCTGAGAAACCAACCTGCAGTTCCTGAAATTGTCTTTGTCTTCCTTCCAGCTGACATCATCTCTACAGTAGAATTCAACCACACTGGAGAATTACTAGCAACAGGGGACAAGGGGGGCCGTGTTGTAATATTTCAGCGTGAGCAGGAGGTAAGTGCCAGTGAATACAAAATGCCCATTTTATCCTTTTAAGAGGAGCTTCCTGCTGCTCCCTAATCCGTCTGTGTCACTCCTAACCTCAGGTCTCTCCTGGCAGATGCCAAATGGAAAAAGTGGCTATTAACATGAGCAGAACCAGATTTCATCAAACACCCTGCAAGCCCACCC